TAATCAAAAATATCTTTATTTGTGTTCTGAAGATGAACGAAGGTCTTACGCGGTTGGTACAGCATGGGGGTGAGTAATTAATGACTTCATTTTCATTTTTGGGTGAACTAACCCTTTAAGTGTACCGCTATTAAGTGTTTGGCATTTTTCAAAGCCGGGTCACGTGAACTCAAGTGGCCAAGCCCGCAAGTGTGGTTATTTGGACATGCCCAGACTTTCCCTATGAGTCAGATGACGTCCTCTTCCAGTGGGCATGAATAGGTTGCACTTTGGGCCAGACCCTTAGCCATGTCCCTGCTTTGCGAGTCTAGGCAAGCCCTAGAAAAAATAATAAAAGGGAATGTGAATCACGTGCTATATGTATTCCTTGTTAAACATTCAAACTAAACGGTCAGCGATTGGAAAACAGATGACAACACAGTGAGGACAAAAGCAGCTGGGAGTGATGGGAAGAGAAGCAGATTCTACTTCGACTTTGAGAAACAATAAGCATTGTCAAAAGGCAAAGTAGGGGGGGGAAACGCTGAAATATGCAATGCTACTTTCATCTACCTGGAGTCTAGGTTTACTACAGTATGCACAAGGGGTTATTAAGAGGATACCAAAGTGAAAGCACCCCACACCCCCTCCTTTAAAGGTTCTCTTGTACACCAGCTTTTATTATATTATCCATCCAAATTACTCCTGCTCTACCAAGCATGTCTGAGCTACGTAACTCAAACTCGTTATTAAAAGTCTGCCGAGAGTCACCTGCCGCACAGAGAGTGCATAAGTTCGAGATTGTCACCGTGGAAACGTGAGATAGCAAGCACCTGTTCCCTCCCTGGAGAGGGGCGACCAAGCCCTTTCCTCTAGGGAGAGAGAGACGAATCCTTGGAGTGTCATCGGCTGCCAGATTAAACTGAACACAAAGAGCCACATTTGATACAGCCTTCAAGCTCTCGCTCAGCTCTGAAGAAAACAATGTCAACAATCCGTCAAACAGTTGGAAAGTTGTATGGTGTTGTTATTAATGCAAACATGCTATGCAAGTACACATATGTGGATTCTTGGCCAACACATTGGAAGCACATGTTGCTGTTTGGTGGTAATATACTTTCAGGTGGAGTTATTTTTAAATGTGACTGAAAGAGATGAACTTTACCTTACTCTGGAAGGTGTTTGCCTGCATAGATCAAATGGCAATTGCAATGCCAAGGTCAATGGAGCAATTGCCATGTAACACACATACTGATACACTGCATTCCTTGAATGCAAAATGTGTAATGGACGGTTAACTTCATGGACCTGATCAGAGTTCATGTCACGACATTCAAACCAGGAATATGGTTAAAATTCAAATTACTGTAAAACTACAGACAAAAGCAAGGACTCAATAAATATTTCATGTTATTGAATACAAAATCTTTTCTTTTTTGTGACAAGCTACATCCCAATGACATCATTCAAAGATAATTGAGAACAGAGAATTGTTCAAGTAAAATGATGAATGGGACTAAAATGTATATTTTTGTTGTTTGTGTGGGTCAGACATGTAGCTCATATCACACTCTGCTACCAGTGTTATCAACTGAATTCACACTATCTGTAACACTAGGACGGTTTACATCGTTTCAGCTGTATTTCAAACATTTATGCGTCACATACTTTAACATATTAGGCTATCTTATCGTTTAATAACACCACCGCCTGCATGTTATGGACAGAAAAGCCAATGATTCCAACATATGAGAGCACAGCTTGTGTCTCAAGTCAATGTGCAATGGTGTTTTTAGTTCTGTAGTCCAACATATTAGCAAATGCAACATAATTGAATTTTTTTTTTTCCCATCAGAAATTCATTGAAGCATGACAAGTGAGTGTTGTGTTAAAGACTGGAATGAGGTGGTTTCGAGGGGAGGGACATGGTGACGGTAAAAAAAAAATGAGATAGGATGAAAAATTTAATTAAATTTCAATGCCTTTGGGTTCATTTGCTATAGAAGAGGATTAGGGCAAACCAATAATAAAAAAATAAAACCATCTCGAGATTAAAGTCATTAGGCCGCGTGTCCACCATTTTTAGCCAGCTGAAAACGCTAGACGCTCTGCTGAAGACGCCGTGCTTTGGGCGCTTGAGAGCGTTTTGGCAACGCAGCGTTTTTTCCGTTGAGACGTTTCGTTGCTATGATACAGAATATCCGCAGCAGTTGAATGTTGCGGCAGTTGGTCGGTGTGGTTATTTATACCAGAGAATGTCTAATTGAAGAGAATTAGCACTGGCTGGTTACTTCCGGGTTCTGGACTGGCTGCAGTAGCACGTCTCTGTCCATGCGGGGGCGCTCGCGGTCGAGTGCAGAATGAATGGGAATCAACTTTTCTCAGGATGTAATTTTTTGTCAAGTAATTTGAAAGTTGCATTCAAAAGGGAGGGCTAAGATAATTCACTCAGCTGAAAATTGCATTTTTAAGTTCACTTATCTGTTCTGAATATCCGTTCAAAAATGTGATGACGTCACACAATAGCAGAATGCTAGCATGTTCCGCCCAACAACAGCCTAACCTGTAAGACATCGAAAGGACATAAGTACTCGTTCATTCGACTTTTGGCCTATAATCTATATTGAACTTACAGAATCAACAATAAAATCTTTGTGGATTTAATGACAAGCAGGTGAAAGAGACACATTTAGCCGTTTAGCCCCATAGACTCATTCATTCTGCTCTCGCCCGCGATCACCTCCAGTGGAATTCTAATGGAACTGCAACCAGGATGATACACAACGGGGCTAATAGGAAGTGCCAAGGCTCTCCGTTAGACGGGCTCTGTTTATACACACTATGGTATTAGTCTCGCCCCTCCTCCACTGTGATTGGACGGCTGGGTAAAAAGTGACAGTGATGAGCGCTGCGTTTTATCCAAAGTTGAACATTTTTCAACTCCCAGCGACCAGGAAAAATGCTGGGCGCTCGGCGCTTCAGCGTGAAAAAAATGCTCAGCGCCTCGGTACGCTCATGGCGTCTAAAAAACGCGGCGCTCCTATTGAAAACAATTGAAAACATACGTCAGGCGCGTGGAAAAACACTTTGGTGGACACACGGCCTAAATAATGCGAGATTAAACTCGTTAAATTTCGAGGAAAAAAAAAAAATCGAAATAGAATTTTGAGAATAAACTCATTAAATATCTAGATTAAAGTCATTATAATGCAAGATTAAACTCATTATATTTCGAGAAAAAAGTCAAAATACAATTTTGAGAACAAACTCATTAAATATCCAGAATAAAGTCGTTGTGTTTCGATAAAAATATCGTTAAATTTTGAGATAAAAAGTCGAAATACAATCTTGAGAATAAACTCGTTACATTTCGAGAATAAAGTCGTGTTTTAGATCGCTTGTTCAAGCTATATTTTGGACTTTCTTTCAGTAACAAAGAAATACTATCGACTTTCGCTAACTACGACAATAATTACCATACAAACTTTAAAGAGAATTTGCAAGCGGCTAGGTCTTTTTAGAAGGAAAAATCAGTCTAAATTGCGATGTACTCGCAACATGAAATGACAACCAGTGCAGGGTTATCGCTGGCTTCACCTACGCGCGATTCATCGTGGTTTTGAGAGGATACAATAAGATGCATAATTAAACTTGTTGATCCTCAAGGTGTGGAATTTCGATGAAGGAGACGCTTGTACACTTGCACTTTGCAAAACTTTTGTGTTCTGAGAAAAATTTGCTCGCTAAATGTTCCCGTTCTGTGAAAACTATTTCACTGCTTTTGCGAGAGAACGCAAATATTCTCGGGGAACCCAAAAAGCATTGAAGTATATATATCTTTTTTTTTTTACATCAATAATTAATACATTAATAATTATTCAATTCTAATTTGTTCAATTTAATTAATAAAATTGCTTGTAATCTGTTGGCACAATTTTATTGCTTAGATATAGCATATTCATTTTTACAGTGTAGTTCTGTTTACATTTCAAACATTAATGCGTCACATACTTTAACATATTAGGCTATCTTATTGTTTACAAACCACCGCCTGCATGTTATGGACAGAAAAGGCAATGATTCCAACATATGAGAGCACAGCTTGTGTCTCAAGTCAATGTGCAATGGTGTTTTTGGTTCTATAGTTCAACACATTAGCAAATGCAACATAATTTAAATTTTTTCCCATCAAAAATTCATTGAACCATGACAAGTGAGTGTTGTGTTAAAGACTGGAATGAGGTGGTTTCGAGGGGAGGGACATGGTGACGGTAAAAAATGAGATAGTTTCAATGCAAAACTTTTGTGTTCTGAGAAAAATTTGCTCGCTAAATGTTCTACTTCTGTGAAAACCATTTCAGTGCTTTTGCGAGAGAACGCAAAGATTCTCATGGACCCAAAAAGCATTGATGTATCTTTTTTTTGTTTTTTTTTACATCACCATGGCCAAGGGTTTTCATAGTTTTGTTATGTTGGCTGAATAAAAATTAGTTTCAGGGATGGCAAAATAATTACACTGATAAAAATGTTAAAAAGTTATGCAAATCTTTTTTTAATAACATGCCCAACAAGACCAGGGTATGTGCATTAAGAAGTCCATTTTAATTTCATGCTAACTAATGTGCAAGTGCTTCACAAGCATAAACATCATAAATAACAAGCTAATAAATGCTGGCTATTAGTTCTGTTGCTGGAAATGATCAGGCATGATTACCGTTGCATGAATGTCTATGATGTTTGTCATTTCAATATTATGCGAGGATCCGCAGGCCTCTCAGAAACAGATGTTTTTGATTGTTATGCAAATCTTCAGCTTCAGCGCCTTGAGTAGATGTAAGGTCTTGATTTACATCCTCACAGCCTGAATATAGGATAATAAACCGTTTTGCAAATACTTTAAAACAGCCTTCAATGTGAGACTGGGTATATGTGATAGACCTATAATCAGTTTACCAGATAATGTAATCAAGTAGCTTTACGCACCTCTCTAAACCTAAAAATCACTGGACTGGAGAAAAAAGATCAGTGCAAGACCTTTAATTCAACAGGGCATCCCGAGAAAAAAGTTGATCTATGTCCATTCAACAAATGTAAATATAAAACCAAATAACTCATCATAAAAAAGTGGATATTGCCATAATTTTACATCAATGAAAAAAAAATACTTAAATACATGCATGGCAGTATTTTTTTGCAGAAGAAATGAAGCTATAAAAATTACATTAAACAATTACAAGTTTGTTCAGACATTTCGCCGGTTACTCTGTAATCAGAATTTCAGATTTCATCAGAAAAAGACAAACCCATCCACAGTCCCATCCATTGAATAAAAAAGGGAAATATGAATTGTAAATGTTCTTGATTCATGCATCACTGGACAACATTGTAGCAACACACCAGCATATATGATTGAGCTGAAGGCGAGCAGGACAGGGTTGATCCTTGCAGAATCCAGTTACTGTCCTATCTGACAGAAACGAATGCATGTCACAGCAAACCTCTATGTATTCATGCAAAGCTAGAGTCAGATCATTGCGTGCCAGTGGCGCAAGCCAGTTTTCCAAGAATGTATCATCACACGTCGGAGTTGAGGCTGAGGTTGGCTAGCCGTGGGTCGGAGTTGATCTCGTATCGGTAATGGTATCCCTCCATGTGATCTCTGCACGCGTCTCGGATATTATAAATCCACTTCTTGATCCCTTTCCTGTTAAGGTAAAGGACCAGGAGGAAAATGACCCCAATGAGGGCAAGAACCATCCCCAAAAACACATATGAGGGCTCCAGAGCTCGATCCATATTTCCATTGTTTCTCCAGCATGGGAGATGCGGTTGTGCTAGGTGTAAAAGTGGTGTATTTTTCAGTTCTTTTGGGTAAGAACAGGACAAGTTTAATTTGTCCACCACAAAGTCATGTCTCTCTAACCAAATCAACATGTCCTCGATGTCGCAATCACAGCGCCAGGGGTTTCCTGAGAGACTGACTCGCAAATCAGGGATCAAACTGAGCTCCGTCAGGGTCACGTTTGACAGGAATTTTAACGCGTTGTCTCTTAAGTCCAACTCTTTAAGCGCAGGATTCACAAATGTATCATTCCCGAATGAGACGAGGGTGTTGTTCCTCAAATCCAAAACCGTTAAGTCCGACAAATCTGTGAATATGCCCTCTGGAAGGAACACCAGGTCATTATTGGACAAATCAAGATGGGAAACTTTAGATAGGCTGCGTTTGAAAAGATTTGCAAACACACTCACGTAGGAGTGGTTGTATAAGGATTTGCTGAGGTTTAAAACCTCAATCTTGTTGTCTTGAGGTAAAGCCTCAACGTTAAACTCTAAAATCCTGCTGTCGCTGAGGTCAAGTAAACGCAGACTTGGCAAGTTTTTAAACACCATAGAGTCCAATTGCTCCATTTGGTTTCCAGACACATAAAAGTGTGTTAAATGTTCCAAAGGCTTGGGGAAAGATTCATTGTTCAGAATCCTTATGTTGTTTCCACTGAGGTTCAGTGTGGTGATGTTTTCTGGAAGGGGTTGTGGGATGGAGCTCAAGTTTTGGCTAACACAGTTCACCACTGTGCTTTCGCACGAGCAATGGGCAGGACATAAAGATAAAGATGAGCAGGAACACGTCAGGACGAGTAAAACACAAAGAGTCAGGTTACACATATTCTTTTGTTTCCTCTGAAGTTGAAGCAAACGCAATAATCCAACATTGGTCATTTTGAAGTGATATAAATCAAACTGCGTGAAAGCAATTCTCTCCACAGAGATGAAAGGAACGCGCTTCTCAAAATCTCACATTTTTCTTTGTTCTCTAATTCAGGATGAGCTTCCTTACCTCCTCAGTTCCACTACAAAGCAAAAGAGATGAGATTGGTTTAGTTCATGTGCGTCAAAGCCGCACGTTTCTTCAAGTTCCAAATGTGTTTCTCTTCTTTTCATGAGTTCCACCAAAAGTATAGTCCCCAATCCTACGAGCGATTCCTGTGCAAAACAATACCGCTTTGTTATTAAATGTCTTGATGTGTTAAAAAGGGCACTGTAGATCCACCAACCTAAAAACGTGTTTTCACCGCGTTTGTTGGGTTATTCTCGGGGCTCGTCATCTCAGCGTCCCGCAACGCTCGCGCTGCTCGCGGTAAATGATTCTCCCCCGCCGCTCCCTGAATCCACACCGAACGCTATTCACCGGACTGTACCATTACACGCGTACGGGGGGCGTCGAGGACCACACACGTTACCAGCAGCAGAGTTGTGAAGTTTTCCAGCCAGGTGGTACATTCTTTTAGGGGGAATGTAGGCTACAAGTAAATAAAAACGTTCTTGGCATAAAACAATATAAACACGCCTCGAGCACATTCATTTAATAACTAAATATAGTTATGATATAACAAATATGCACTGCAAATACAAGTAATCATAACAGGCAAGGTGCTATGTATTTAAAGTCCCCATGAAATACAAATGGAAGTTCCTGGTTAACCATTTTTGGTTCCCAGAACGTACATAAATTATTTTTTGCTATTGAGATGACTTCTGAGATGAATAAAGTTCCCCAATCAACCTAAATTCACCCAAATGACGTTTTGATATAATCAATAAAGACTGTAGCCAGTAGCCACTATATGAAATAAGTCAGTATTAAAGAGATAACATCATAAACTCTTCAGTTTCAATGTTAGCCCAATAAAACAATAAAATAAAAAAATAATGGTATTCTAAAAGAAAAAAAAATATAAGGATGTTTCATTTGAATAATTTTCCATTCTAATCACAATTATTAATACACAATTATTAGTGCAAGAAAGAATTAAAGGGTTAGTTCACCACAAAATGAAAATTCTGTCAGTAATTACTCTCCCTCATGTTGTTTGATATCACAAATTAAGATATTTTTGATTAAATCTGAGAGCTGGATCACTCCTCCATAAGGGATCGAAACTGGCCAGCCCAGAAGTTATGAAATACATATTTAAAATAGTCTGAGTGACTACAGTGGCTCGATCTTAAATTTATCAAGTGACGAGAATACATTTTGTGCACAAAAAACAAACAAAAATAATGACTTTATTCAACTATTCATTTCCTTCTCTGTTGGCCTCGAGATTTCACATACACAAAGCTTAGGATGTACGCCACACGCATCACACACATGACCAGCTTAATTTGTGTTCCGAAAATGAGTGAAAGTCTTACAGGGTTGGAACAACGTGAGGGTGAGTAATTAATTACTTACAGAATTTTAATTTTGGCGTGAACTAACCCTTTAAAGCAATTGGAAGATGTCATTCTTTTTAAAAAAAAAATAAAATATATATATATATATACAAATTATCTGGTTGACCCGATAGTCATGTGACTCGTGTGGAAGGTATGCCCCGTAAGCCTCGCCCACATCGCCTACGCAAGAGAGGGGACTCCCTTTCCAACTCGCTACTCTGTCTAACCTAACAAGCAATGGATGCATACCATAAATGACTTGAGTGGCACCCATAGACTGTAAGGTGGCACCATTAAAATTTGTGTCACAAGCGCAAGACTGGTTTTATACTGGTAGTTTACATGTCGAACTGTCCAATCACAAATAACAATACAAGGCTGCAAGGTGAATTGCCCAATGGAATGTAAGGATACATATCGAACGGGCCAATCAGAATTCGTTTTACTCTAGCGTGCCTCCGCCTCTAGATCTTACTTAATCGACTAGTATCTTCTGCTGCAACATATTTACCGCTAAACACCAATCTTTCCTTTAAAGATGTTTCTCTGGATCTGTCGCATAGGGAAAAACACTAACATGGCCTTTTCTTTCATCTAGCGACAGGTGAGTGAGAGATATCAGCGCGTTGTGTTTTAATCTGGCAGTCTTTTAGCACATAGTTCAGCCCAATATGGTTCATAAAAATTATGATGATGTGTCAGAGACTCAGAACAGAGACACATCTCATATGTCCTGTCATTGATATTCTCGAACTGTCCGTGCTGTTAATTCTTTTCACCACATTATTAAAGCTGGATGAGTGTGTATGTTGACTGTCTCTGACTGACATTAACGTTGACAGTTAACTTACACGAGAGGTTGACAGTCTTCAAATGTAAACAAACGCTTTCAACGGACTTATTTTCTCAAATATGTGATTTTAATAGTTTAAAGTATTGGGTTTTGGATTTAGGGTCACAAAGTTATTAAATATGCAGAAACTGATGCAAGACTGAGGCCATATTTAGGTATTCGAAGGGTGTCAAACTACTTCTCTGCCAAGTGTAGCACTTCATAATGCTGGCCTGTTTCTTCAACTATGTGCACTTTTTATTATTTTCATTAATTAGTTCACAGATTTAACTTTTTTTTTTTGGTTTGTAATAGTCATGCGAAGTTATAGAAACTTTGCATTTTTTTGTCATAGTTTATTAATTAATTTATTTTACTACCATTCTAATGCATATTTTGTATAGATTTTTATCTTTTTAATATAAGACCAGACCTAATCTTAAAGCATGACCAATATAATTAATAATAATTAGATAATCGCAACAGGGTCCACTGTTATATTTTAAGGTTTTTGTCTACATGGTCAAAAGTGTTCATTCATAATTGAAGAAAATCGCACATGTAACAATTTTACATAAATAAATCAGATAAATCAATATTTTTTAAATAATTTTCAAAGGGTGTTGTTTAGTCACAAATAAAGGCACAACGGAAGTGCTTTAGTGTGATGTAGGGGTTGCACAGACTTTTTTAGACTAGACTTTTAAAGACTGCTTTAAAGGTGGCGTAAGCGATTTCTGAGAAACTGTTGATATTTGAAAACACCAAAACAAACACACCCCTACCCAACGGGATCACACCCTGTTCTTGTTCGCTCCGCCCCCAATTTACCTATGGCTAAGCCACACCCCCTCCACTCGGACACACAGTCAACATTCAGGGACAGGTGCTATGGCAGCTGTCACAGTAGGAGACATTTCACCGGAGGCAATTGGTGATTTTTGGAGACAGAAAGATTATATATCATCTCAAAGTCCCCTAAAGGGCCTTAACTATGCGTTGGAGTGTTATATTAATAATTTCATTGTTGAGAAGGTCGATGAAAATCTTCAGCTCCAGGCAACGTTGTTGACTTAACTTAGTACAGATGTAGACATCCTTGTTTAATTTATCCAAGTTTAGTTGGTGTTGTGGTCTACCGCATAACTTAATCCAGAGCAGACACTTATCTCGGTTGAGATGTGGCTTGGGAAAGGGTAAAAAAAAAATACCCACCGTTGCCCAGCCTCTCGGGAACCTAGTGTCGGAATTGCATGTACCCCATACACATCGTTTGACCATTTTAGACTTAAAATGACAAAAAAATGAATGAAAACTCTTTAACGGCAAAGCATTTCAATGGACGTGAAAGCAGAGAATGTCCGAGTGGATTGGGTGGGTTAGCTGCGCACTGTGATTGGCTTGTCGCGTTTGAGGGCGTGGCTTAGCAATAGGTCAAATCTCAAGTATGCATCCGAAATCGCAAACTCTCTTGAGTAGGTACTTATTTTGAATAAATTACTTCCCAAATCATGACTATTAAACACTATGTTATATTTAGAATGAGTGTGAGTAGTATGAATGTAATCTGGACATACTACATTCACTATGTTGTCATCATTATCATGTGACTTATGAGCAGCAGTTACTTCGCTTGCCCAAAAATCCCATAGATGTGCGTTGGATAAGAAATATTTGAAGTCCATTTTTACGCTCCATTTCCATAAGTAGAAATCCGAAAGATAATAGAAAGGAAAACACTATAATACTCTCTCATTTACCGTCATCCTTCAGCAAATACGGATTTTTATTATTTTAACAAATCTTTAAGTATATCTTATAAAAATGTAATCTTAGACACCCTGCAGTCACGCATGATCAACAAACTTTAAACTAGGGCTGTCAAAGTTTAATCGCGATTAATCGCATCCAAAATAAAAGTTTGAATTTACATAATATATGTGGGTGCACTGTGTATAATTATTTTATCTATATAAATTCACACACATGCTTGTATATATTTAAGAAATATTTTCATGTATATACTACTGTATATAGATTTATATTATATATAAATATAAATATTTTATCTATAAATCATATTTCATAATTTTTCTTAAATATACATGCATGTGTGTGGATTAATATATATATATATATATGTATGTATATATATACAAAATAAATATACACAGTGCACCCACATATATTATGTAAACACAAACTTTTATTTTGGATGCGATTAATCGCTTGACAGCCCTACTTTAAACCCTTGGTGCGCTATATCCAGTCGCCCTCTGTGACATATTTATTAATTTTTTTTTTACCATATGCTAAATTAGAACTGTAAACTTTGGCTTAGTTATATGAAAAAAAATTAAATTATATATATATATATATATATATATATATATATATATGTATGATTCCCACCCAGTGCGCTTAAACTTACTGAGTGCCCTTTTGGTTACAGTGTTCACTTCATTTTTTTTTTAAACAATTTCTTTATTTGTGGAAATTTACATAATCAAGAAGTTGCCGTCTAAAATGTAAGTCTGTTTATTTTACAGATTTGTTCTTTTTTAAATCTTTTTTTTTTTAAATTTTATTTCAATATAAATATCAATATTCAATATAAAATAGCCATATTTATCAGCCTGCTCTTTATGATATTCGCTTTAGCCATCAAACCTGTCCAAATCAGTCCAACTCTAGTTAAAATTACAAATAAATGCATACTCTCCGCAAGTTATGTTTGTTTATACCATCTCAATATACTCAATATCGGGTGAATGCATGTTTTAAACAGTTAATTATTCAAGTAAGTTAATCTAAATTAGTGTGCATTGTAACACACACACACAGACAGTAGCTCTCACATCATGTATCATTCGTGCGAAACTGAAACATTCATTAACGTAGAAACTTACTATCAATGTTGTCCTGTTATTTATCAAAAAATAGCTTAAAAATCTTAAAGTTCTGTCATATTTCTTTTTTTTTTTTTAAAGTACATAAAAGCCACAGTTTTACTATTAGTAGAGAGACACTGCACAGACTTTTGGTTCTAGGATTAAAATATGCACGCGATTGTTCTCAACTTCTCTTACTATTGCATTCAAATGAATGTAATCTTACTAGGTGCTACGTTG